GATCAGCACCATGTTACAACTCAAAGGGCAACAGTACAGACACTCCAGGCAGACAGGAGCCAGACCAACAGCTTCGCTATCTGACCATCAACAACATTACAGAGGAGCAACAATCGCTGACTGAAAGTGAATTTTGTGGAGCTCCCCTGTTCAATGTGTAAATATTACGTGAATTGTCATTGGTGAGACCCTCAACCGGCTCAGTGGTTAACGCTGCTACCCTACACTATCAGGGCACCGGGTTCGATTCCACCGCCAGGCGAATGTCTTTGTGGAGTTTGCACATTATCCTCGTGTCTGCGTTGCGTTTCGTCCACAGTCTAAAGATGTGCAGGCTGGGTATATTGGCCATTCTGAATTGCCCGTAGTGTTCAGAGATGTGGAGCTTAGGTAGGTTATAGGGGGATGGGTTGCTGTGGACTTGCTGGCCTGAAGAGCTTTCCCACACACTGTAGGGCTTCTATGATAAAGGATTTCTGTTTTCTAAGCAACGTGCTCGGATATATTATTAGAAACCTCTACAGCAAGTGAATCTAGAAGTGGAATCCATTTGAAACAAACGAAGGGATTCTACTACTGCACATTGGTAGCTCCTCAGAATCTAAAGTGGAACTCACCTGTGTTATTTCTATTCAGGATAATGAGAACAATCAATGTTAAACGCACTGATATTTTCATGTCATTTTGACAGGATTGCAAAGTCGAAATAAACAGTCGTTCTCCTCCGAATTAAGCACAACAGGCCAAAGAAGGAAGCGTAGTGGGAACACTCCTATTCAAAGACGACACAAAAGCAACGACACGGGATCACTCAGACACCACTTAATTTAAATCTAGAGTACAGTATTACAGTCATTTACGTAAGTTATCATGTGAGAAAAGCAGCTGAAAAGAAAACTCTTGGAATTGAGATTAAATACACTGTCGTCTAACTGATTTTTGTTTTTGTTTCAATAATGGACTCATCAATCAAATTGAGGTTAATTTCAATAATAAAGTGGGAACTGAACAAGTAGTCAGAATGAAGGAGAAACTGAGACTAGCGAAAGTGCGAAACCAACAAAGGGGGCTAAATATATCAGTATGGCGAGACGGATAAACAGTAATGAAGGATTAGATATAAATTTAATTTGTCTGCTGAATCTCTCCGTAATCATACATACATTATCACACAACTATATACGCACACTCAAAACACAATCGTGCACGTGCACACATGCATACATTCACACGGACACATTCACACGCACACACACATCCAGACATACACACACACAGAAACACAACGGCCATGTTGTAATCTTAGTACGTCACCATGCACACACACACTCACATGCGCGCGTGCACACATACGTACTCACATACACACACACACACACACACACGCACAGAGAGAGAGAGAGAGACACAGACACACACACACTTGTGTTGTTTAGTAAATATTATTTAGCAACAATCCTATTGTGTGAAATTCATGATGTCAGTATTGGGTATCTGTATGAGCGCTGAAGAAAATGCAACATTTCATCTCATGGGTTTTTGTACAGGTTTGGATCATTTCTGTCTCTGTGCTCTTGCACAATAATATGTTGCCCTGTCTAAAACATTCAACTGTCTGATTTCCAAAGTGAAGACTTTTTTTGTAAGGACTTTGGAAGCAGCAACTCGGTTTTCAACTCTGGATTAAAATCTTTGCTGTCTTCAGTATAGTACCGAACGAGCCATTGTGGGCCATTCCCCAGGACTTGTTGATACCAGTACATAATGTATGCATTCAGATCAAACCCGCTGGTTTTACATGTCAGTCTCAGAGACTGTTCGGCAATGCCTGTCTCTGCCTCCAGGTGAGTCAACAATACTTCCGACTGGGCACCTAGTAAAGGAAAGGAAAATTAATTAAATTGCATGAATTCGGATCTTGTATCTTTCCCCTCACACGCCACTACACCCCAACACACAGCCCAGGAAAAATATTTCCAGAGAAACTGAAAACCACGTTAAAATTTAGTTGAAAGAAACAATTAGACCTACGCACTGGAGACGAAAGCAAGAAGGAGAGGGTAAAACCTTGGCGAATGCATGTTTCCTGATGCTGTCTTCAATGAGACAGTCTGTCCTCCAGTCAATCACTGAAAAAGTAGCTTTGCAAACTGTTGGATTCCGATCCACACTCACAAAGTTTTATGAATCAGAAGAGTGGGGGTGTTAGAGAACACACGAGATTGGATGTCTGCCGTTGACGTCTGATGTCAGCACATGGGGATTGACGTATCCTGGAAATACAGCGGATTCCACCATCCCTATTCGGCTGGCAAAAGCACCATCTCATTCCGGACGTTGGAGATTGTGTGAATTGACAGTCACTGTCTGATTTATTTTAACAATTCAAAAATATTAATTATTCATATGAATAAATGTATATGTGTAAACAGTCATTGAAACAGTTCGGTCCTGTACGGAGCATTTGAAGAAACAAACCAGCATTGGATTCGGACTCTATCTGGCAAAAAAAAATCTCAAGGCATTTTCAAATGATTTCAGGGTTTACATAACTATGTTAGAGGCAAAGCGATAATCTGAGAAGTCAATGGACCCCCATTTACCTTCGGCAGAAAAAAGACTTTTTTTTCGAACACTCGTTTCCTAGAGACCTATCGATTCGCCTTTCATGACAACATTATATCCCAAGAACATTAAGGTTGACTGTTAACCACTGACGTCCTGAGCAGAAATTTTTCAAATCTTTCTGGAAATTCAAATCTAACAAATACAGTAAATCAACATTATTTGTTCTACAAGTTGGATCCCTCAAAAAAAAGACTCTCGTAAATTTGTTAAGCATGATTTTCCTGACATAAAGTAGTTATGTCCAATGCCATTAAATCTTTACAATCGTTTCGTTATCCCCATCTGTCCAGAAGTACATACACGTTACAAAGGGACTGACTGTCACATGGAGATACCATTATCCAGCAGAAGTTAATAGTGATATGAAGTGAACTGCCCAATAGGATGCTGGAGGCTTTCCAACGTTCACTTGTCAAATTGTAGATGGATAGTTCCAGGAATCGAAATATTTTGAGTGTGTGTATTTCAGGGGAGTACTATGAGGTCAATTGCGCACGTCAGGACCGGTACTGCACCTGGAGTCCATCTCTCCGCATCTATATATTTCCCATTCTATTACTTGAATTTACTGACGTTGTCAGAAGTTTCTTGAATCCTAAGAATTGAAGAGAAATCAAACCTTCGATCTGTTACATCCACCATGTTTGTAAAAATATTTTCAGGGTTTGCAGCAAGTACAGAGGATTGCAAATGCAAAAATAATGCGATCCAAATGAATTGTACACAAGTTACAACAGGCAGTAAGGTCGGTACCAAATAGCACGGATATATGCCTGCCACTGTGTGCAAGTGAAGGTCGGCGTGTATCGCTGTATGGGTACATAAGTAATTGGTCGGTGTATGTGTGTGTGTGTGCGTGTGTATGTGTGTGTTTGTGTGTGTGAATGTGTCTTTTTCTGTGTCTCTATCTGTGTATGTTTATCCATGTTTTTCTCTGTTTGTGAGTAAGTTTTTCTCCGTACATTCCTGATGGTGCATCAAAATATATCATTCTCTATTTGTACATGATTCTCTCGCCACAATGGACGACAGTTATCAGGAGTTTTATTGAAATTGCAAGAAAGTAAAAGCCTCTGTGCCTTTTTTCATCAGTTAGTTTTTAAAGTGATGCAATTGCTCCGCCTGCTGGCGGCCGGCATCTATTGCAACTGTGAAAGGCAAAAATCACCCAGGAATCATGCAAAACGTTCGCAGCAGCGCACAGGAACATCCAATCTGACAGCAACAACAAAACATACATTGGATCAGTGTGGAGATTTCTGAAATGGTCATTATGAATAATAGAGAGAGGTTCATCATGGGGATGACAAAAACTGTCAATTTTAACAGAAAATGCATAAATTCATATTGCAAAATTGTCAAGAAATGCAGTCTTTTCAAACACTTACGCATATGCTGTCCGTCATTCGATGTGTCCTATTTTAATATGTGAGCACAGCACTTATATATCGAACTGCTTGCCTGTCTGCCAATCTAAACTATCTCTCTCTATTATTCTGCCAATATGATTGACAATTTATCTTTCTACGTGCTAATTTATCATGCTGGTTTTTTTTTCATTTTGCTCCTTCTCTGCATTTGCCAGGCTGTCCCTCTGCTTTCCCCTTTTTCCATATATGTTCAATCAACTATGTTTGTATCTTCAACTCACCCTCTGTTGCACAGAATGATGTTAAACAGAGCCTATTAAAATACCGAGTGCTCTTGACTCTCAGAGACTCTCCGTTCAGACTAGTATATATAAGCACTGTTCTATTAAATTCAGCGCTATGCTTGGTTACGATTCAGAAATATTTTTCGGAGTCCTTATCCGACAGCTGTGCGTTGGTTAAACTGACAACTCTGTAGGTTTTGGCCACGGAAAAGGGGAAGTGACTTCTGACCAATGTGGCACTGTCAATAAAGCCATTCGTACAGCGCAAGTTGATATATTAGTGTCCAAGGGAGAGAGTCAGACAGTACCACAACATCAAGGTACTCTCTCCATACCTGTAGAAACAGTTGAGGGTGATACTCTCCCCACTATTCCCGTTCATCGGTACCTCTGACGTTTCAGTGAAAGATGAGACTGGATCCCAAAAGGACACATATAATAAGGCATTGTGTTTGGAAGACTTTCATCCGCAGAATATTGGAGTAACAAAACTGACACTCTTCACATTGTGCAGAGGAGAGGCAGAGAATGATTGAACTGATTGTTTTGACATCAACTTTTCATATGGCTGAGACGTTGACCATCCAATTGATTGTTATGATCATACAGACGTATGAGGAGGGTACAGGAGAACGTCAGTCGGCACTTAACAGCATCCTCCACCATTGAATAAGATCCCTCCTGATATGACGTTAACCTCAACTCGACATCATTGCGTATTCTTAAAAATCCTTCATCCCTTTGATGTCAAGAACCTACTTACCTCTGCCTTAAAAATGCTTCAGGATTCTGCTTTCAGGACCTTAACATAAAAGATATTCAAAAAACTCACAGCCTACTGAATGTAAAAGATGCTCCGCATTCCTGAGACTAATGGATGCTGCCTAATTTCTAACCTCCAACTCCTAATTCTTCGCTGTTCCACAAAAGGAAACATTCTTTCCAGATATTCCTGATCCACTTGTGTCAGGGTCTGATGTGATTCCATTCATTCGTCCTGAATCTTCGATACTCCAGACAATCCAGGCTGTGTATCTTTTCCATACCTGTATCAGCCTTGAACATTCTTATAGCACAGTCCCTTTAGCAAATATTTTGACAAGTTCAGTTTCCTCTGTCGACGAAATATCTACCTGATTATCTATTCCACTTCAACGGGGTGGAGTTGGTGTTGGGTGGGGACTATTCCCCAGTTATTCTGTCAGGTTTTCATCACACATCTTTGGAGCATCTGGCCCTTGAAGTTAGGCAACCTGTTACAAAGGTAAGGATACTACCAGAATCTCACAAGATCCCTCCACACAGCTCACTTATATATTCGCTGACATTCTTCTAATGCTGACAAACACGAAACATCTTTGCTACCATTCATTTCTCAGGAAACCTCTCGTCATCGAATAATATAATACAATTTTGTATTACATTCATGGTGGTCTAACGTGAATACTTCTGTGCTTTATATGCCAGGAAAGGATGTGTATTCCTGAACTGTTAATTGTGATAAGCAAGTCAAGGACTTAAGCGACTATTCCAGAATTCGGGAGATAGATGGATTCAGAATCATTACATTTTGAGATCAGTCCATTGTGTACATTCAGACATGTATCCACAAATTCACAGAAGCAAACACACACTCTTGACAAATTGTGGGCCCTGATTCCGGTAAATTGACATGGGAGGAGGGAAAAGAGCTGTTCAAAATGACGTGCATCCGAGCAAAGTGCAAAAGGAACATTACAATTACAACGGCGAATTCATGGATATCAGGTGGTTATGCGAATTGAGAAAAGCAAAGACTGCACGCTGTCCATGTGGGTGAGTTGTCGGTTTGCAAGGTGCAGTGTGCTACTGCTCTCCCTCTGATTGAATCCTTGACTAGATTCAGCTTCGTTTAGTGCAGAAATGTACAAAGAGTGTGGAATTCTATAGCGTTGAACTGAGGGGAGTGAATCAGGGAAAGTGGCAGGCATTTTTTTTTTGATTAGTTCATTCACTATTATCTGTACAATTGATTCATCTCCAAAACCAACGGCCAGTTGCTTCTGAACTGACATTACACACGTGATACAAACCTTCAGTTGAACGTTTCCAAACTTTTGTACAGGTTTCTAATCAGTCACTGAGATGAGCAGAAAAATAGACAGCAGCGCACACACACACATTGACAAACAAACGCAAAGATATCAAAACAAATGTGTACAACTAAAGAGTGACAGAGATACGCACATGCACACACATTAGCATGTATAAAAATATGCATGTGGGAGATCCAGGCGATTTTCTTTCGTTTCGTCTGTGGATGAAGGTATAACAACTGAATTTCCTACTCTGACCATTTGCACATGACAAAGTGTAGACCCCCCTGACTATTTCAGTGGTGTTGTGCAGTTAATATGACATGAAGGTGGAGGTCGGATAAAAATTGGTTACCTTCATCCCAGGCGAATTTTACTTTAAATTCTCAGCCGTCAACGTCATTTGATTTTTTCAAATTTCCATTTTGAGAGAACATTATTAGAGGATTTGTAAAACATGCCTTCATTTTTCAGAGTTGGGAAGTTAGGAAAGGACAAAATGACAGCACGTTCTGAACCAATGGCCACTTCCACCTCGAAGGACACCTGCAGTAAATGCATCTGCCCAGCCTTCACCTGGATCAACAACAGAGAACTTTCAATTTTGCAGATATCGGGAGAGAAGACATTGCCGATTATCACTGCTTGCTGATCAGCCCCATGTTGCAATTCAAAGGGCAACAGTACAGATACTCCAGGCAGACAGGAGACAGAACAACAGCTTCGCTATCTGACCATCAACAATATTACAGAGGAGAAACAATCGGTGACTGAAAGTGAATTTTGTAAAGCATCCCTGTTCAATGTGTAAATATTAACTGAATTGTCACTGGTGAGATTCTAAAGCTGCCACCGTGGGTAGCACTTCTGCCTCAAAGCGCCATGATCCCGGGTTCACTTCCACGGTCTGGCGACTGTTTGTGTGGAGTTTGTACATTCTCCCCGTGTCTGCGTGGGTTACCTCCGGGTGCTCCGGTTTCCTCCCACAGTCTAAAGTTGTGCAGCCTAAGTGGATTGGCCATGCGAAATTGCCCGCAGTGTTCAGGGTGGTGGAGCTTAGGTGGGTTTTTGGGGGATGGCTTGGTGTGGACTTGCTGGGCTGAAGTGCCTGTTTCCAAACTGTAGGGATTCTATGATGAAGGATCTCCATTTTCTCAGCAACGTGTTCAGATATATTAGACACCTCAACAGCAAGTGAATCTAGAACTGGAATCTGTTTGAAACAGGCTTAGGGATTCTACCACTGCACATTGATAGCTCCTCAGAATCTAAATTGTTAGTTCCACTGACATAATGAGAACAATCATTGTTTTTCGAAGCCATCGTCTTCATGTCCTACTGACAGGAGTGTAAAGCCGAAATAAACAGTCGTTCTCCTCCTGATTATGCACAACAGTCCAAAGCAGGAAGTGAAGTTGGAACAATCCTGTTCAAAGGCAAGACAAAAGCAAAGATCAGGGATAACTCAGACACTACTTAATGTAAATCTCGAGTACAGTGTTGCAGTCAATAACGAAATTTATCGTGTGAAAAATCAGCAGAAAAGAACTCTCTTCAAATTGGCATTATATACGCTGTCACATATCTGATTTTTATTGTTTCCATCATGGAGTCTCCAATCAAATTGAAATTAAGTTCAGTAATACAGTGGGAACTAAAGAGGTGATCAGAATGAAGGAGAAACTGAGACTAGAGAAAGTGAGAGAACAACAAAGGGAGCTAAATATATCGGGATGGCGAGACTGATATACAGTATTGAGGGATTGCATATAAATTTAACTGTTACGCTGAATCTCCACGTACTCATACATACATTATCACGCACGTCTATACACACAGAGAAAACACAAACACGCATGTACACACATGCATGCATTCAAACGTACACGTTTATACACACACACACTCACACATACACACGCACACACACACACAAACACACAAACACACACACACACACACACACACAAACACACAAACACCGAACTGTCAAACAAAGCCTCGTTCTTTGCTCTGTTATTTAGTAAATATTATTCAGCAACAACACTATTCTGTGAGCTACTATTCATGATGTGTGTATTGGTGCAATCAGTCAGCGCCGAAGAAAATGCAACATTTCCTCTCGTGCGTTTTTGTACAGGTTTGTATCTGATCTGTCTCACTGTGCTCTTGCACAATAATATGTTGCGCTATCTGAAATCCTCAAAGTTCTGATATCCAAAGTGAACATATTGTTTGTAAGGTCTTTGGAAGCAGTAACTCGGTTTTCAACCACTGGATTAAAATCCTTGTTGCCTTCAGTATAGTACCAAACTAGCCATTGCAGACCATTCCCAGGACTTTGTCGGTACCAGTACATTGTGTACGCACCAAGGTCAAACCCGCTGGTTTTACATGTCAGTGTCAGAGACTGTCCGGCAATGCCCGTCTCTTCCTCCGGTTGAGTCAACAATACTTCCGACTGGGCACCTAGTAAAGTAAAGCAACATTAATTAAACTGAGAAACTGAAAACCACGTTAAAATTTAGTTGAAAGAAACAATTAGGTCTACGCACTGGAGACGAAAGCAAGAATAGGAAGAAAGCTTCGCGACCACATGCTTCCTGACACTGTCTTCATTAATACAGTATGTTCTCCTGTCACTCACTGAAAAAGCAGCTCTGCAGACTGTTGGACGTTCATCCACATTCGCCAGGTTTTATGAATCAGAAGAAGAGGCGGTGGGTTTGAGAACCGTAGAGATTGGCTGTCTCCCATTGACGTCTGATGTGAATACATGGGGTTTGACTTCTGATATAAATACATGGGGTTTTTGCCATCCTCACTGGGCTGGCTGCTGCGACATCTCATTGCAGACTTTGGAAATTGCGTGAATTGACAGTCATTGTCTGATTTTTTTACATTTCAAAAATATAATTTATTCATAAAAACAACATTATATGCGTAAACAATCATGAAAGCAGTTCGGTCCGATACGGAGCATATGAAGAAACGAACCAACATTGGATTCGGATTCTATCTAGTAAACAATCTCAAGGCATTTCCGAATGATTTCAGGGTTTACTTAAATACGTTAGAGGCATAGCGAGAATCCAATAAGTGAATGGACCCCCATTTACCTTCGGCAGAAAAGGACTTTTTTTCACACTCTCGTTTCGAATAGGTCTACCGATTCGCCTTCCATGACAAAATTATATTTTTATAACCTTGAGGTTGACTGTTACCCACTAAAGATTCATGCAGCAATTTTCCAATCGCTTACTGAAAGTACAAATCTAACAAATGTAGTGATTCAATATTATCTGTTCTACGAGTTAGACCTCTAAAATAAAGCCTCCAGTAAATTTGTAAAGAATGATTTTCTTGCCATAAAATGGTTATGTCCAATTCCATTAAATCTTCACAAACGTTTTGTTATCCCCATCTGTCCAGAGGTACACACAAGTTAAAGAGTCACTGGGGTCACATGTCGATAGTTTAATTCAGCAGCAATTCATAGTGATATGAAACGAACTGCCTGAGAGGATGCTTCAGACTTTCCGATGTTCTTTCATCAAATTGAAGACGGATATTTCCAGGAATCAAAATAATTGAGAGTGTACTTATGAGACAGTAGTAGAGAACAATTAGTTGAATCATGCGTGTCAGGAGTGTCAATCCAGCTGGAGCCCAACTGACCACATCTGAAGAGTTCCCATTCTGTTACTTGGACTTACATACGATGTGGGAAGTTTCTGGGATCTTAAGAGCAGAACAGAAAACAAACCTTCGATCTATTACATCTACCATGCCTGTATCAACATCTTCAGAGTTTGCAGCAAATACACTGAATTGCAAATGCAAGGAAATTACAAACCAAATGAACGGTACAAAGCTTACAACAGTCAACAAACAGCATGGTTATATACCTGCCAATGTGTGAAAGTTAAGATCGGTTTATCCCGCTTCCTGCGTACATGAATATGCTGGGGTGTGTTTGTGTGTGTGTGTGTGTGTGTGCGTGTGTTTGTGAGTATGTGTTTCTCCGTGCACCCAGCTCGTGCAGCAACACCCATCATTACCTGTGAGTGCATGATTCTCTCTCTACAATGGATGGTACTTGTCAGGGGTTTTATTCAAAATTAAGAAAGTAAAGCCTTCGTGCCTTTTTTCATCAGTTAGTGTTTAAAGTGATGAAAAGTCACACTCTGCTGGTGCCCTGCATCCACTGCAACTACGAACGTTCGAAAATTACCAGGGAATCAGTCAAAAAGTGAGCAGCAGCAGACAGCACCTTCCAATCTGAAAGCAACACCAACACATACACAGGATCAATGTGAGAATTTCGGACATGGTCACTATGAAGAATACGGAGAGTATCAGCATGGAGATTACAGAGATGGTCATTGTTAACAGAGAAGGCATAAAACCATGTAACATCATTGTCGACAATTGTGGGGACTTCAATTGCTTCCGCATGTGTCGTCTATCAGTCTATTTTTGGTGTATGTGCACAGCATTCATTCATCGAAATGCCTGTCTGTCTATCTATCTATCTGTCTATCTATCTATCTGGCTGTCTCGCTATCAGTCTGTCTGTCTGTCTGCCTGTCTATATATATATCTATCTCTCTATTTATCTCTCTATCTATCCATCTAACAATCTATCTATTTGTCTGTCTGTCTATCTATCTATCTCTCACGCTCTCTATTATTCTACATATATACTTGACAGTTTATCTGTCTGCGTGTCTATTTATCAGAATGCATTTCTTTCTGTTTCTCATTCCATGCATTTTTTCAGTTTGTCCCTCTGTTTTCCATTCTATCCATGTTTGTTCTTTCGACTGTTTGTATGTTCGACTCACATTCTATTGCACTTCATGATGTTAAACAGTGCATTGTAAAATACCGAGAATTCCTGTCTCTCACAGACTCGACATTCAGATCACTATGTGAAGGCAGTGTTCCATTAAATTCAGCACTGTGAGTATGCTTCCATTGCATAAAGGTTTCTCGGAATTCTCTTCCGATATCTATTGAACCGTTTAAACTGACAGCTCTGTAGGTTTTGACCAGAGAAGATGTGAAGCGACTTCTGGCAAATTTGAAACTGTCACTGAAGCCGTCTGTATGGCTGATGAGAATATACTGGTGTCCAAGGGAGAGAGTCAGCCAGTACTACGACAGGAAGGCACTCTCCCCGTCTGTGTAGAAACAGAGGAGAGTGCCACTCTCTGCAATATTCGTGTCACCTTTATTTGTGACTTGTCAGTGAGCAATTTGGACAGGGTCCCAAAAGGTCACTTAGGCATTGTATTTGGAAGACTTTCTTCCACAGAAGATTGGAGTAACGAATCTGTCACTCTTCATATAATAGAGAGGAAAGGCAAGGAAGAATTCAGCTATTTTGTTTTGACATTAACATTTTATATGGCTGAGGATTTGGCACTCCAATTGATTGTTATATCATACGAACGTATGAAGAGGGTACAGGAAAAGGTCAATTGGCACTTTGGAGCATCCTTTGCCTTTGAATACGATTATGGAGTCTCCAATCAAATTGAAGTTGAGTTCAATCACAAAGAGGAAACCCAGTAAAGGACAGAGTGAAAGTCAATCTCAAACTAACGATAGTTAGGCGCCAGAACGGGGGAATGAAAAAAAAAATGAGAGCGACATTGATATGAAGTATTGGGTACGAGTAGAGCGGAAAATGCAATCATTACAGTGAATTTCGACATAATCATGCAAACGTTATCTCTCTCTCTCTCTCTCTCTCTCACACACACACACACACACGCACACACTCACACACAAGAGCAGCGCACTGCCATGTTGTGATTTAAGCAGATAAGCACTTCGCCGTGATCACAACGGTGATGAAAGGATTAATTCAGCATTCCTTCAATGCAATCGAATCGGCACCTTCAGCAGCTCTCATTCTAAAACTCTGCCCCTGGTACATTGCTGTCCTGTTTCTGGACGCTTCCACCTCATTCCTTTGTGGTGAAGGTGTGGATCTGAATCTTGAAGAAGGAGAGATGTCTGCCAGCTCACGTTCTCCAAGTTACGGAACAGCAAAGTGCAGAGGGTGTCAATTGGAATGGTGCGTTCAAAGATGACACTGCCCTGTGTCTTTGTTCGAGTTCAGAATATGCATTTTATTTTCTCAGCAGCTCCGGGAAACAGTTGGTTGACAGGTTGATGTGAGGTTAGTTTGGTTTCCTCTTGGTGTGTGTTTAAACCCCTGAGAGAACATAGTAACTTCCCGAGACACTGTGAAAACATCAACAGACAGATCAATCTATGGTCCAAACACAGTTTTTGTACAGCAGTGAGACTGTTTGCCATCAACGTGTCCCTGAAAGCACAGTAATACACAGCAGCGTCGGTCAGCTCTAATCCAGTAATAGTTAAACTGGTGAGTTTCTTCGAGGTCTGAAGTTCTACAGAGAAACGATCTTTCGCAAAATCTGCTTTTTCCTCACTGCCTGAAGCATATTTCCTCAGGATATAATCGGGCTGCATGCCTGGGTACTGCCGGTACCAGTATATCCAATAATAGCTCTCTGTAGTGTCATAGGTACAACTTAGAGTCGCTGCCGCTCCCTCTGTCTGAATATCTAAGGAGAGTGACTGAGTGATTGAATCTCCATGACTCAGGTCTGAAAGAGAAAATAGATATCAATTGCACAATGTCAGACAGACATCAATTAAAAATATGATTTGATAAAAGAATTTGAATTCCATTTCCTCCACATTTACCTGTTAGAAATGTGCCCGACACAACCCAGATGCTGAGGAGCCACATTGCCTCTGTCCTCGGCATAATGGGGCTGCCAGATATTTGAAGACACTCATTCTGAAACCCCGCCTATAATATGCTGCTTATCTTAATGTGGATGTTCCCACCTCACTGCTTTTTCTCAGTGGTGATGCTGAGATGTTGGGAGAAGGAGAGCTCTCAGTGATTTGGCGGCCCCCATGCAGAGTTCAAGTCAATTGTTTTTAATACGGGACACTAAGCAGTGTGAGACTACGGTTTTGATTCCAGATAAGAAATTTCCCACATTCCCAGCACATTTACTCTCGAGAATCTGTTCTCTTGCTTACACTTACCCCCAACTGACGTCATTTATTGTGATAAACGTGTTAATGGATGCACTGAAATTGCCCAATACTACCACCCGTGAAGTTTACAGCCCTCATGTAATCCTTGTGGACCGACAAACTGCCCTTTCTCAAAACAAAGCCATTCAAATTAAATCTCCCACATTACAAAACTTAATCTCAACCTTTAGTCAGCGGTATCTCTAATATTACGGTTTTCAGGTTCCACTTCATTCAGATCCTCTGTTGCTGTTTCTCTGTTCTTGTGGTCAAGATTATCACACTTACATTTTTTGCTTCACCTTAGATATCTTTAGTTTCTTTCCACTCCCTCCCTGTTTTATTTTTTTTTTTTTTGACTCATTGAAATCAGGCACCTCATGGAGCTGGACTCATTGTACATTTCAATAAGGACATAGCAGTTGTCTGGATGCCAGCACCCTCTGTCTGTGCGTGTGTGTGTGTGTGTGTGTGTGTGTGTGTGTGTGTGTGTTTGTGTGTGTGTGTGTGTGTCTGTCTGTCTGTGCATTCTGCTGTATGTGCTAATGTGTATGTGGCTGTATGAGTGTTTATTTGTGTTTATTGGTTTGCTGTATTTGTATGTGCGTGTTGGTGTGTTCTCAGGTCGACAGTGTGTTGTTCTGCCTGTTCCAGTGTCTGATTGGAACCATGTTTAAAAGAATAGAAACCTTCACCTACAGAGTTGCTTCAAAGCGCTAATGTCAATTCAGAAGCAGTTGGTCTTGCTTACGGAGATATAGTGTCCAGATAGATGATACTGAATGAAATAACGAACAAGTCTCACAATCACTTCCCCTGCTTCTCTCCTGTCTGTTCAAAGCAACACAATGCTGAACTCTGCTGGTTGATGTGCGATCCTGCACGAGAGGAAGATGCTGCTCACAAAGCAAAACAAATTGCTGGGAAAGTTCAGCGGGTCTGGCAGCATCTGTGGAGATATATGAGAGTTGACATTTTGGGTTGAGTGACCCTTTCTCGGAACTAACATTAATGAAACGTTATAACAAGGTACAGAGCTGGATGAACACAGCAGGCCAAGCAGCATCAGAGGATCAGGAAAGCTGACGATTCGGGCCAAGACCCTCCTGCAGAAAATGATTTTCTGAAGAAGTGTCTCGGCCCGAAACGTCAGCTTTCCTGCTCCTCTGATGCTGCTTGACCTGTTGTGTTCATCCAGCTCTGCACCTTGTTATCTCAGATTCTCCAACACCTGCAGTTCCTCCTATCTATTAATGAAACGTTAACTCTAATTTCTCTCCACAAATGCTGCCAGGCTTGCTCAGGTTTTCAAGCAATTTCTATTTATTTTTCCGATTTCAAGCATCCACTGTTCTTTCATAAGAATATACTCATTTTGGACTGCCTCAGATGGAGGACAGCAGCACACCACACCATTCAAACTGAAAGCAGATCAACTCATACATAAGGTTAGTGTGAAGACATTTCTGCTTCCCATTCACATGTCAAGTTGGCATACATAAATTTACTGGTGATATTTTAATATTGCTTTTATTCTGTGCTATTCTTTGCTCACCTGTCCGTCAGACTGAAAACTGAATTCTGCATCTCCAATGCAAGTTTCCAGAAGTCACACCTTCGGTAGAGTGCGTGTTTGCCAAGAGTGAGTTTCTGGAACAGGGATATTTTGCAAACACTGAACAGATCTCACCACTTTAGTCGGTTTATTCCCCAAAACAGGCTGAAGTTTAGATTCTCGTCAACGACGGATGAACTTCAACTGTCTCCCTAACGCTGTGAAACGTCCCAATTTCTTCTATTCTTCACAACTCTTACCAGACCAGTCATTTACCTCTACCCCTGGACCCTAAAGTATGGAACCAATTCCAATAGAACACCACGAAAGTGAAACAACAACTGGAATTCTGCAGACAATTGATAATGAGTAACATACTTTTCCTTTATCACCCTCAGAAGACTTTTTTCTGTATATGCACCAGCCATGGTTGTGGTTGGGGGGGGGGGGGGGGGGGGGGGGGCGGGTAGCATGTGACATTTTTGTCGTGTCCCTCCCATTGATTCAGAAGCACCAATTTCAATCCCACATGCACCGGAGGTGTATAACTAATTCCTGACAGCGCAGAGGCAGAAATGTTGTTTCTCCCTGTGGAAGAGTTTCTGAATGGAAGTCGAAATCTCTGAATAAGTAGTCGCAAATTTAAGAGAGAACTGAGGAGGATATTTACTCAGACAGGAAGGAATCTGTGGAATTATGTACAACTGATTGTGAGTTGCTCTGTTTATTCAAGGCTGAGATAGACATCTTTTCAAAAAAGAGGGAATCAAAGCTTCTGGAGAAAATGCAGAAATGTGCGGTTGAGTATTATGGGATCAGCCATGATCTCTTTGAACTATGGAAAACTCTTTGAGGCCCACGAGTAAATTACTGGCAAAAAGGAAAGAAAAGCAATTCTTCGAGAAAGTAAAAACATAAATATATTTCAAACTGCCAGTTCTGTGGAGGAAGTAGTGGAGAGGATATTATGAAGCAGTAGATGAGTCAGCTGCAGAAATATGCAGATTAGAATGGTTTCCTTTATCAGTTCACACTGGTCTGAATAGCTGAGGCGCTGTCAGTTATGAGCCTATTTGTACTTAGAGAATCGAGGGAAAAACTACATTTCCTCTTGTGTTTTTTTTTTTGTACAGGTATCTGATCAGTTTCTCTGTGCCCCTGTACAATAACATGTTGCACTGTCTCACATCCTCAATGTT